ATATTAATCACTTCATAAACAGTCTCCTATACTTTCAATTCCACATTGAATACATAATCAATGTGCGCTCTGTGTATTTTACAAGTGAGCTACACGATACCATAAGCATTGTGTCCCACTGTGTCCTCAGACTCTGTGACCTGCAGTATGCAACCAAATTATCAAACAAACAATAAATAAATATTATTTTAGTCAATTAATGTGTGTGTTAATTTACTGTGCACCAATTATCTATGATATTGTGTGTCCCAAGTATGCACATCGAGAAAAATTATTTAATGAAGGTAAGACAATTACACAAGTACTTAGAAACTGCGAGCCCCAGCCATCTAAAAGTAACAGTCAAGCTACTTCCACAATCACATTAACTGATAATGTTGCATTAGCTTACCTTTTTATATGTGTTGGTGTACTGGTTTTATACAGTTTGTCTTTGTTGCTGATGAATACCTTAGTACAGTGCAGACACAGAACATTACTAAAAGGTAACAGCAGAGCAGCCCCTCACACTATATCGGAGGTATTTTGGGCAGCTATTAATTGTTTATCCCTCTTCCTATTTTTTTGTTCACTGGTGAAAAATGGAAAAAATTTGATCTTACTAAAAATTATATTGTTACTTTTATTTGGTTTTGGTCCCATTTTCATCGTAATCAAATCGTGTAAATTATTGTATTTGATTTAAAGAAGATTTAAATAAGGAAATTCACATTGTATTTCTGACCTGAATTTTGACCTAATCTCCTCAATATCATGACAGCTTTGGACAGTTTCCCTCTGAACAGAACAATGAACACGACCTCAGCATTCCAGACGGACTGCCCTGAAGTGAAAGTCCCCGTCCCTCTCTTCTTCACCATGGGATTAGTGAGCCTGGGTGAGAACTTCCTGGTTGTGTTGGCTGTCATACGAAATAGGGACCTTCACTCGCCCATGTATTGCTTCATCTGCAGCCTGGCAGCCTTCAACACCATCGCCAACCTCACCAAAACCTGGGAGACCCTGATGATTGTGTTTGCCGACGTGGGGCAGCTGGAGAAAAGAGGCTCCTCTGAGACAAAGTTGGACGATGTGATGGACTCCCTGCTGTGTATGTCATTTGTTGGCTCAATCTCCAGTTTCCTGGCCATTGCTGTGGACCGGTATGTGGGTAGGGCTGGGATATGCACACCAAAGGGTTATAGATGAATGTTTATGATACTTTAGGCCACATGTGTAATGGTATGAATATAATCAACAAGAACACTAATGTAAATCATTATGCTTTGAACTGCGTAAATCATTGGGAATATGGATAAATTGACTGTTAATGAAACCAGAATCAATGTGGTCATACTGTAGCTGGTTCCGTGGCTGTTTTGGTCCCTGAATATAGTCAACCTCTGCTTCTATTTTTTTACATCAACATTAATTCATACAATAAACATCAGGGCTAACTGGGACTCTGTCTTAACATATCTTTGTTGAGTCAGACATGCATACTGTATGTAAATAAGCAATTATTTTTCAAAAAACAATTCTATGTATGAGCTTAAAAGGAAAAAAGAAATGTCAGTTTTGTGTTTGCTTTTTTTTTTCACAACACACGGCAACAAAAGTCAATTACTGAAGGTTTAAAGCTTCATGATTGAGGAAAATTTAAATCTTTGTTTCATTTTCAGTTACATTACCATCTTCCATGCACTGCGATATCACAACATTATGACAATGCAACGCACCAGGGCAATCTTGGGTGTCATCTGGACATTGTGTGGTGTGTCAGCCATACTTACGGTGAGGTTCTTTGATGTCAAGTTCACCATGATCTGCTTTGTCGTCTTCTTCGCCATCTCCTTGGTGATTATCTGCTTCCTCTATGTCTACATGTTCATGCTGGCTCGCATCCATGCCCTAAAGATTGCAGCTCTGCCAAGCAGTGGCGGGGGGAAATGTCGTCGGAGGGGCTGCAGCATGAGAGGGGCCCTGACTCTCACCATCCTGTTCGGGACATTCATGGCGTGTTGGGCTCCGTTTTTTGTCCACCTTATCATCATCATGGTGTGCCCCACAAACCCATACTGCGAGTGCTACCGATCGCTGTTCGAGCTGCACATAGTTCTGCTGATGAGCCACGCCATGATTGACCCAGGCATCTATGCCTTCCGCAGCGCAGAGCTCAGACAAGCCTTCAGGAAGATGCTGTTTTGTTCAAATTGGAAGCCATGCTCATAGAGAAAACCTTTTTCTGCTTTTTATTCTAGCTTTTTTTTATCCACAGAAGAGAACATGTTCTCTGTACGTGCAGTGTACTTTACGTGAATGTAAACTCTCTCTCTCTTTATATATATATATAAACTTGTTCATACTTCTCCATGCAGTGTACCCTAATGTACATATTCAAGCAACATAAATGGAAACCACAGTAAGACAATTACAACAAAACAATGTCAGTTTGTTCCAAAATCATCTTTTATCCTGTTTTTGTGTATGCATTTAAATGCAATGGACCAGTCTGAAAATACAAATAATACAAATGACTTGCTTTTTTTAAAATATATATATGTATATTGTATTGTATATATAAAACACTGCCAAAATGTAAATATCGACCACACAGCAGTGATACATGAGGTTTTATACCAAAAAAGTTTTATGATAAAGTTTAGTTAAGCTTCTCAGTTAAGAATCAGGAACCAGACACACACACACACACACACAGATCACTAAATCTATTTATACATTCACTTTGTTTCATTCCAAGTGTAAACCTATGACATCTTACATTAGTTTAACATAGTGTGGGAAGGAAGGCAGCACAGGGGGGATACAGAATACAACAGATATAATTGATATCAAAGAAGACAGAGCAAGTGACTGCATTCACATTCTGCTTTGGCAGATGTCAGGAATCTGATTGTTCTTTTTTTTCTCATTAATGCTGCAGGGGGTGGGGGTAGGGCACAAAGCAGCAGCAGAATAGTAAAATAATGAATTAAAAAAAAAAATACAGCCATCAACAATTGAAACTATCCAAAAGTTCATTCATAGGCTACATTATTTCCCTACTTAAACATAATCAAACAAGGTGACATACTGTACGCCTGAGGCCATGGACCAATAATGTGTCATTTGTTTCTCAGGTTGTTAGAGGTGTAAACATTCAATGCACCACAGGCACAGTCAGTCTGCATCAAATCGATATTGTGGAAAAAAGACAAATTAAAGGACAAGCCAATATAAAGCATCTTAGTGAGTTTGGTCAACATGTGTTGCCTTATAGATGAGGGTATTCCTCCTGCTTCTCCACAAATGTTCAGGATAAATATATGCAGTGGGCTCCAAACAGTGGATCCCAATATATAAAGATTCTTCAAAAATCATAACCAATCACTGAATTAAAAAAAAAAAGTTTGAGTACAAGAATACAGCTGGAATGAAAGGCAAGCGCATACATATTTTCAATCTAATCATGATGTCCTAGCTCAGGCATGGGAAACCTTTTATCTATCAAGGGCCATTTTAATTTTCATAAAATCCTTCGGGAATTAACTTAATTCTTAAGAATATTCAGTCTGACATTTCAATTAGAATTACAAATATTCAAATATCCTACATACATAAAACGTAAAATAAACCACACACAACCAAAACACACAACCAGACTCTCTGGCTCTGTTAACAAAAATTGCTTTTGAATAAATATGACATTTTTGGCACTGGATATATGTTACCAGCTTGAAAAACAGGTTGATTTTGATTAACATGAGCTTCTAAGTTTGTATTGTATTATGTTAGTAATCCAACTCTTCACCTAGGATTGTGTGTATGTTTGTGTATGTGTATAAACGTGTCTTGTGAACTCTGGAGTGAATCAAACAAACACAAAGCAAACTTGAAGACTGTTCAGGTCCTAATAAATTGTGTTGGTGTTGGTGTTTATCGTTAAAATGTAGGTCAGCAGGAGTGTGGAGGCAGGACACTCAGACAGAGACTCTGATCATGTTCTCATTCATGTTAAAAAGTTCAAAAAGTTCACTTTCTGTTCCTCCATGTGAGTTAGTGGGGGTGGGTGGGGCTGGTTGGGGGATTGTGTGTGTGCCTTGATCCCTAAGGAAAGGAGCTGTAGGAGGCACAGATGCAGCAGTCTTCAACCTATGTTTATATTTCTGCTGGTGTGAGGTTTAGTTTGAACACTTCTTTTACCCCCCTAAGTACACATCCCACTACGTATTTACGCGGCGATCGAAGTAGGCGGCTGCTCTATTTACAGAGTGGGCCTAACAAGGGACTATGGGAAGAGCAGAGGAGGAGGTGTGTGTGTCTTAACATGAACAACAGCTGGTACAAAGTCGGGCAGACATTGTTTACAAACACTGCTGCAGGGAACTAAAGCCTCTCACAGCAAGTTGCAGACCGTACTTTTTACAAGAGACTTCATAATAATAACAATATACATTGTCTGAAATAGGAGAAAATAACGATAACGATCATACAACAACAAAAAGACACATCACCTCATCGCGATGCATCCCGCGTACAGCTGTGTGTCTTTCTTTCTTTCCTTCCAAAACAAATGCACATGGTGGGTACACCAAGCAGGCAGCTATGACTCAGGGGTTAGAGCAGCCATCCTCTATCCAGAAGGTCTGAACCCCAAATTTCCCCGTCTCATGGAGAAATGTGCTGCACATAGATGCACTGTGTGAATATGTATATGAATGGGTGAATTTAAAAGCGCTTTTAGTGGGCATCACAATAGCGCTATATAAATACAGACCATTTACTAAGGTTTTTACAACAGGAGACTGTGGAAACAGTACCACCTTTGTCTAGGGGCGCAAAAATCAATGAAATTAAAGGGTTCCTTGTAGGCGCAAAAATGAAAACTTCCTTATAGGAGCTTTAAATTTACATACCTAATAAATTAGCGTTTGCTTTAGTTCTTTGTGTATATGCCACATTTATTAGGAGACAGTAAATAAGTTATTAGTTAAATTAATCCTTACTTAATGTGAGCTTTTACAGTTCCATAAGGGTTAGAAAAAAGAATGTTTTAAACTGTTTTTGCTGAAAAGTGCAATGAACCATGTCTCTATATAGTTTTTCTTTTAGATAGAATCTCCCACAGTAATGATCTAGGGTCAGTTTCAGTCAGTCCATCCTACCCATCCTGTCACTGATGCTCTCAGTCTGTCTCTTAGTACTTTAGATTGCAAATGCTGTTGCATGTGTTTCTCAGGCTGCAACAACAGATTATTTCTTTAAAAGTCTTCCTCATCTCCTGACTTCTGAAGGCATAAATGAGTGGGTCAATCACAGAATTGCACATGATAAGGATGAGGTACATGTTGAAGTGGGACATGAAACACACACAGTAGAGGTTGCGCGGACAGGAGATCATTAGGATCAGGTGAAGAAAGAAGGGTGCCCAGCAGACAATGAAGATCCCCAACAGGATGGTTAGCGTGATGGCCCCCTTCATGCTCGCCCGCTGGTGGATGGAGTTGTAGCCGGGCAGGGCGGCGATGCGCTTCACGTGCGAGCGAGCCAGCATGAACATGTGACTGTAGAGGGAGGCCATGATGAGTAGCATTGCGAAGAACATGGAGACTAGGCAGACGATGACAGGGGTGGAGTCTGAGTAGATGATGAAGATGATACCACAGCCTGTGCAGAAGGTCCAGATTCCCCCGATGATGCAGCCAGCTCTCTTCACTGTCATTATGTTGTGGTACCTCAGTGCATAGAAGATAGTGACGTACCTGCAGATATTAACATTGACATTGATAATATAGATTTCTGAGTGACCTATAATTTACTAGCAACCTTTACAAGCCACTGAGGAATTAAAGAAACCAATGAGGAACTAGATGTCTAGAGAACTGAAATGGTAATCCAGAAGACAATAACACTGCTTTATTATTTGCTTATTATGATTGTTTTTGCACAAATATCTTAAATTCTATAACACCTGTCAGATATAGAAAGGAGGAAGGCTAAGTGGAAATAGAAGATGGACAAAGTCAGTGTTCCACTTGCCTCTTTAAAGAATGTGATGCCTATCAGAGGCGAGGAACAATCCATTCTCGTACCTGATTGCCAAATAGTGTCATAGATTCTTGCAATCTCATACACCTGTCCAACAGACAGCATTCCCACTTGTTTTTTTAAATCTGTATTTTAGATGGTTGCCAAATGTTTTTATCTAACTGGTTTCTTTTATAAAAAGCATCAAATCTTTGAGAAGTTCCAATCTGGCTTTTGTTCTCTACATAGCACAGAGACTGCTCTTAATGTCACCAACTGCTTGCAGCAGACACAGGTTGTTTCTCAATTTTTATCCTTGATACAGTGATACAGTGGACCATAATATTTTGATCAGCTGTCTGAAGAATGCTGTTGGTATCAGGGACATGGCACTGGATTGGTTTATCTCCTATCTGTCTAATATTTCATTATCAGTAATGCTGGGAGATGCTTCCTCTACATGTGCTCCTCTCTTCTGTGGGGTGCCCCAGGGGTCAATTTTGGGTCCCATTTTGTTTAGCACATTATGCTACCCCTGGGGTAAATCATTAATAATTATGGCATTGACCTCCATTGCTATGCAGATAATATATGGCTGTTTGTCTCACTGCAGCCTGGCTCGACTGATGCGTCTATTATAACATCCATGAAGTGGCCCGCAATCTAGGTGTAATGTTTGATTCTGGTTTGTCGTTTGATGCTCAGTTGACCAAAACAGTGCAGTCCTGCTTTGTCCAACTGAGACGGTTCAAGAAGATTCAGATTTTCCTCTCCTCTACAGACTTAGAAAATATCATATGTCAATACCATTATTTCTACCATTAAGTCTTGATTATTGCAATGCACTTTATTCTGGTATTAGTAAGCAAAACATTGAAAGATGCTACTGCTAGGCTAGCAATTACATTAAATCAATCCGTGCAGCCCTTCACTGGTTACCTGTTAGTTATATGACTTGATTTTAAAATTGTACTGCTTGTACTGCCTGAATGCTGAATGGTCAGGGTCCAATCCACATACTTGACTTGCTAATCCCCTATGAGACTGAATGCTGCCTGAGATCCTCCAACAGGGTCCTACTTACAGTTCCAAAATCTTCACTGGGCACTAAAGACCTTTGCTATCTGGGTTTTGCAACTTTGGAACTCCCACCCAGGAGATCTCAAGCAGGTAACCTCAGAGTCTTCTTAAGACTCACTTTTACTATATTGCTTAATTTTAACGGTCGGTATTTGTCTTTCATTTTAAATGATCTTATCTGGCTTTTTATGTTAAAATAGATTTTTTCGATTCTTGAGAACCTGTTTCACTTTGTAACTTTGTTTTGGAAAGGTACTATATAAGTAAAAGTTATTATCACTATTATTACCTGTAGTCACTGCAGACAAAATGCTACTCAGCTTAATTTTCTAATACAGTTTAGTAGACATTCAATGTCATAAAATCTACATTTCAGACAGGAAATCAAAAACAAGGGTAGCTACTCTTCCGAACATTGAAATAGACAGATGCAGGATTGGCACTGCAGATAATTCAGATGGAGCTGGCCAAAGGGGTGCAATCAGAAGTACAAGCAGAGGTGGTTATAACGTCACTGCACATGCTCCAATCGTCCTCCAACTTGAAATATATGTTGAGAGTATATAGAGAGTAACCATGCCCCAAAGACAAACGTCATAGGATTTACCTAAAAATTTCCCAGCCTACTCCAGACCTCATACCTGAATTTTGAGACATAATTAGCAACCATTTGCCACCCGATGGACAAAGGGGCACAGACAAACAAATTCCAATGAGCTAGAAACATGAAATTTGGCATAATAACTCAAATATTTGTTCATCAACATGAGCTCAATCATGAAACTATTCAAATATGTTTTTATCGTATTGTAAAATAGGGGTGTTTAAGTATTTAGAATCTCACGCATACGGAGCACCAAAAATACTGTGATGTCATGAGAGGGTGTGTCATAGAGGGGAGATACATTCAACCTAAAACATTCAACAATAGTGGGCTTAACAGGAAATTGGCCACAACTCATCAACATTTTGTTCAATCATCAACATTTTGTAGATGTCCTTCTAGTGTCAGTATCAGTTTTGCTCATAGGGGACAACAAAAACCCCCCAAATCTTTACCGCAGTAACCACTGAACCAAATTTCTCCCAAATAGTAAATAAATAATAATAAATAATAAATTAGCTGAATTGGTCAAAAATTATGGCTACCAATGTTTGCCAACAGCAGGGCTTAGCAGGTAATTGGCCATAACTTGTCAACAATTTGTCCAATCATAATCAAATTAAGTAGATAAATTATCTGAAGCACAGTAACCACCAAACCAAATTTCACCAATTTGTTTTGAATGCTCTGGGGCAACTAGGCACCACAATCTAAAGTGTTAAATAGATTGACAAAGGTGGGCATAGCCTAGTAAATATTTTTCAGGATTTCAACACATTTTGGGTTAGAAACATGAAACATGAAAATTGGCACATCCATTAGGAATGATGTACAGGAAGTGCCCAACCCATTATGACCCCAATCGGGTCATATTGCTAATGGTGGTGCTCTTACATTTGACAGGCTACGTCCCTCACACAGTTAGTACAAAAAATTTCATACAAAATTCAAAACTCAAAAAACAGCAATGTCACATTTACTTTTTAGTTTTTCAACCAATTAATGCCTCATTCAGTATGAAGCATTGTAAGACTGAGATACACATTTCTAATGTAATTGAGCAGGATTGTTTAAAAAACATATTAATCAAAAACATTTGCTTATTGGGATATTGGCCATAACTGTAATGTCTAATCATCATGAAACTAACTGCCACAGGGAGCAACGAAAATACCAAAAACATGTACCACAGTAACTGTTGGACAGAATTTCACCAAATTTGGTACCAATGCTCTCTGGCCAAGTATGAACCAAAATCTAATGTGCCACAATTGGAGGATGGACGTATAGTGAGCGTATTGTGTCACTTCCGGTGTCCTTGTATCAAACTCTTCTCTTTTTGGTCTCTCCCTATTCTGCTAATATCTGACTCACTGAAGCTAACTTTGAGTCATATTCACAGTTGTACAATTCCTTACACTCACCTCTCCCTCTCTTAGCGACTCGTTCGCTAAATCACTGTGATTTACAAATTACCTGTGTTAGCTTAGCAACTTAGCATTAGCAGCTAACAATGGCTTCTCCCTCTCACTCTCCTGCTCTCTCCTGCATGCTTGATGTTCAGTTACTCCTCTGCATCCTTTAGTGATATCGGTATGTGTGTTAAATGTAACTTATTTGCCAGAATAGAGGCGAGGATTAGCCATTTTGAATCGCCGCTCTGCACCATGGAGAGTAAATCTTTAGCTGATGTAGTTAGCCTGTGCAAGCCAAGTAGCTATAGCTTCTCCAGCCCCCCCAGCAGCTCCCGAGCAGCCGGGAAGCCAGGTCGGCTGGGTGACTGTTCGTAATAAGAAGCGCAGCCCTAAACTGAAGCTCCCGGTTCACCACCAACCTGTTCACATCTCTATTAATTTTCCCCACTTAGCGTCACACCCGCTGAGGAACAAACTCTGGTTATTGGCGACTCTATTTTGAGAAACGTGAAGTTAGCGACACCAGCTAGCACAGTTAAATGTTTTCCTGGGGCCAGAGTGGGCGACATAGAGTCCTATTTAAAACTGCTGGCTAAGGGTAAGCGTAAGTACAGTAAGATTTTTATTCATGTCGGCAGTAATGTCACAAAAATCAATATTGATTCGGTGTGTACATATGCAAAGACAATGTCGGACTCCCTAATTTTCTGTGGACCACTGCCTAATGTTTCCAGTGATGATATGTATAGCCGCATCCGTCATCCTTTCACCGCTGGCTGTCGAGGTGGTGCCCAAATAACAACATGGGCGAACTTTTTGGGGGAAACCTGTTCTGATTAGGAGAGATTGTATTCATCCCACTCGGAGCAGCTCTCATATCTAGAAACATGACAACACTTGTTAGACAGTCCACACCATTACAATCCAGAGTTGAGACCAGGAGGCAGAGTCGCAGTCTTACACGCTTCTCTGTGCTTCCATTTGAACAGTCACCCTCACAATATCATATAGAAACTGTGTCTGCCCCCCGACCACCTAAATTCATTAAATCAAAAGCAAACAGGACAGGAGTAATATATTCAAACCTAATAAAGGTTAACACAGCCAATATATCGGTAACAAAACACAGAATTATAAAATGCGGTTTATTAAATATCAGGTCACTCAATCAAAAATCAGTACTTATTAATGACTTGATTACCGATCACTAAATCGATCTATTATTTTTAACAGAAACCTGGCTGCAAGATGGAGAATATGTAGGCTTAGGGTTAGGGAGGGGTTGGGTTAGCAGCAATCTCTAAATCTATCTATCTATCTATCTATATATATATATATATATCTTATTACATATCTCTAACACCTTGGGTCTTCTCCTTCCCTCCTTGGTCAATACTGTGCGGCTCTCCGGAGCCCGTCCTGGCTCGGGTCCTGATGAGGGAGCGACCTAGTGAGGTTTATTCCACCTGGGAGTTTTTCCTCCCTGCTGTTGCTCATGCTTGCTTGGTGTGGAACAAGTTGGATTGTGTGTTTCTTAAGATCTTGGACTTTTGTGCACCACCCTGAGACAACTGTTTGTTGTGATACCGTTCTATATAAATAAATTTGATTGATTGATTGATTGATCTATCTAATCTATCAACCCTTGACCGAAACTTTGAAAATTTTATTATCAGCCTCATCCATCCAAGCCTGAAATCACATAAACCAATTCATCTAGTTATCATATATCGTCCGCCTGCCCCTTAGTCAGAATTTCTATCTGAATTCTCTGAATTTCTATCAGAACTAGTTCTAGGGACAGATAAAATAATTATAGTAGGTGATTTCAACATTCATGTAGATGTTGCCAACGACAGCCTTAGTTCAGCTTTCAAATCAATAATAGACGCGATTGGTTTCATTCAACTGTCTGAATCACACTCTTGATCTTGTTCTGACATACAATACAGGAAAGTTATCAAAACTTTACCCCACACTAGTTGATAACTTAGTTAATAGTACAGCAGCTTCATTAAAAACAATCCTTGACGCTGTCGCCCCTCTAAAAAAGAAGAAGGCAAATCAGAGGAGATCAGCTCTGTGGTATAATTCTCAGACACGTGTTCTAAAACAGACATCGAGGAAAGTAGAGAGGAAGTGGCGTTCCATCAATAAACATGACTTTCACCTAGCCTGGAAGGATAGCTTGATATGTTACAAGAAAACACTTAGGAATGCCAGAACCTCTTATTATTCATTATTAATTGAAGAAAATAAGAACAACCCCAGGTTCCTCTTCAGCACTGTAGCCAGGCTGACAGAAAGTCACACCTCTACCTCTACTCTATTTCTCTAACCCTGAGAAGCAATGATTTCATGAGCTTCTTTACAAATAAAATTATAACCATCAGGGATAAAATCCACAACCTCCTCCCAGTGAATAGCACATACATAGATACATTGTCTGGTCCTGAAACCATAGAACCAGATTTATGTTTGAACCAATTTTATTCTATTGATCTTCCTGAACTGACCTTATTAGTTTCATCATGTAAACCAACAACTTGTCAATTAGACTCTGTCCCAGCTGGACTTTTTATGGAAATGTTCCCCCTGATTGACAGTTCCATATTATTTTCTGATTAACATGTCTTTGTTAACTGGTTATGTACCTCAAACTTTTATGGTAGCTGTTATTAAACCTCTGCTTTAAAAGCCCACACTTGATCCAGAGGTTTTAGCTAATTATAGACCCATATCAAACCTGGCCTTCATTTCAAAAATCCTAAAAAAATGCTAACCAGCTGTGTGATTACTTATATAGTAACAGTTTGTTGGAAAACTTTCAGTCAGGATTTAGAATCCATCACAGCACAGAAACAGCACTATTGAAAGTCACTAATGATCTTTTCGTGGCATCAGATGATGGACTTGTCTCTGTACTCGTCCTGTTGGATCTTAGTGCAGCATTTGACACCATAGATCATAAGATCCTGTTACAGAGACTAGAACAACATATAGGGATCAGAGGAACTGCACTAGACTGGTTTAAATCATATTTATCAGATAGATTTCAATTTGTTAACGTCAACAATGACCCCTCCATGCACATGGAAGTTAGTCATGGAGTCCCACAAGGTTCTGTCTTTGGACCGATACTCTTCACCTTAAATATGCTCCCCTTAGGCAACATCATGAGAAAGCACCACATACACTACCATTGTTACGCAGATGACACCCAGCTGTACATTTCTCTGAAGCATGATGAATCTAATCACTTAGTTCAACATCAGGAATGTCTCAAGAACATCAAGGCCTGGATGACCTAAAACCTCTTACTTCTAAATTCAGACAAAACTGAGGTTGTTGTAATTGGCCCTAAACATCTTAGAAAATCACTGTCTGAACAGATAGTTACCTTGGATGGTGTGAGCTTGGCCTCTAGCTCAACTGTGAGGAATCTTGGAGTTATGTTTGACCAGGACATGTCATTTGACCAACACATGAAACAAGTCTCTAGGACAGCTTTCTTCCACGTGCGCAATATTAACAAAATTAGAAACGTCCTGTCTCAGAAGGATGCTGAAAAACTAGTCCATGCATTCGTTACCTCTATACTAGATTACTGTAATTCTTATTATCAGGATGCCCCAGGAAATCAGTAAAAAGTCTCCAGTTGGTCCAAAATGCAGCAGCACGAGTGCTGACAGGAACTAAAAGGAGAGATCATATCATTCCTGTCTTAGCTTCTCTACATTGGCTCCCTGTAAAATTCAGAATAGATTTCAAAATCCTGCTACTCACATTTGAAGCCCTTAACAATCAAGCCACTTCATATATCAAAGACCTGATTATCTAAATAGATCACTTCGTTCACAAAACATAGGCTCTCTTGTGGTTCCAAGAGTCAGTAAGAGTAGAACAGGAGGTAGAGCATTCAGCTACCAGGCTTCTCTCCTGTGGAACCAGCTCCCACTCTGGGTTCGGGAGGCAGACAGAATCTCTGCATTTAAAGTTAAACTTAAAACGTTCCTTTTTGATAAAGCCTATAGTTAGTTCTGGATCACGAGAGTCCTGAACCATCAGTTATGCTGCTATAGGTCTAGACTGCTGGGGGAACTCCCATCATCCACTGAGCACCTCTCCACTTCTCTCTGCCCCCCCAAATTCATTCATTTATTTTAAAACATGTCAATGACTATTTCACTTTGTACTCCCATAGTCTCTCTCTCTTTTTTCTAACTCATTTCAGATATCTCTGACCCCAGAACAACAACTTTTACTATTACTAATTACAATATTGCAGTAATTAATTATGATATCAATTGTGTCTGTTATCAATAATAATTAATAGTCTTTACACTGTTGTTTACATTTCAACAAGTGAGATCTGATCCCTGATGGCGCTCAAGTGTCCCTGGTCTTTCTCGCCCCACCTCTCCCCTACTTCCCCCTCCCCACTATCCCTCTCTCTTCTCTCCCCTCTTTTCCACKCATCTCTCATCTCCTTCCCCCGTTTTCTTTGCTCACCCCAACCGGTCGAGGCAGATGACCGCCCCCATTGAGCCTGGTTCAGCCAGAGGTTTCTCCCTGTTAATGAGGGAGTTTTTCCTCTCAACAGTCGCCAAAGTGCTGCTCATTGTGGGAACTCTTGGGTTTCTCTATATTTTGATGTTAAGGTCCTGGCCTTTTATGTAAAGTGCCTTGAGATAATGTATATTATGATTTGGCACAAATAAAATTTAATTCAATTGAATTGGACAAATGGCGTAACTCTGACTGCTCAATTATCGCACTGCTACTTGCATTGAAATGATGACGAGTGACTGTTGTAACTTAGACTGAAGAAAACCAGCCTGAAGTGACTTTGCTCAACTTTGCGAAGCCTGAAACCTGCTTATTGCGTCTTTTCACTTGAAATTGGACCAATTGAGCGGCCTCCTCCCAAGTGCCAATCACAACCATTTATCTACAAAGGGGCTGGTTTCATTGGATAACTGAGAGACCAAACAACTAAAATGGCTAACGCTAATGTGGAGTAGTATGTTCAATCAAGGCAGCATTAAACAAACAGAAAATGGTATATTTTAGCAAAAAAAGACAAACACTGCACACTGTTAAGATGTTTACATTTTTCTGTCACTCTGTGATAAATCGCGTTTTGCTCTGATAATTTGTTGGCAAATGTGGATTTATCTGGTGATGCAAGGTTTAAATCCTATAGGATTACCTAAAATAATGTGAAACTCATACAGCCAGTGCACCTTTGAACACACAAAATGACTCAGTCCACTTCCAGGTGTGCAGTGTTGTTACAAATTGGTGTTTTGACTTCACAAATGATCATGAGCAGAGAGCGCACACACCTGACAAAAGTTTCAGTTTGTTCTCCATCTAATCACTTCCAGAATTAGTGTTAATTATGTAAATGTGAACAGCATAAATTCTAAATTCTGTTCCTGGTGATTAGCGCAAAATTGCAGTCCATTTCAGTATACTTCCTGAAAAGATATCTTTGTTCCAAGCAATTATTATACAACTGTGAGAACTGAAGACCCAGTTTATTCTGAGCACCAGTATGCACAGTTGGTAGCTAATTACATTGCACAACCTCTATTATTAGACAAGCTTGTTT